AAAAAAAAAAAAAAAAAAAAAGAATTTGAATTCGTTTTCAGAATATTCATCATTGGAATACCAGTGGCATGAAAATTTTCTTTTGTTACTTGAATGTCAGTAGTTGACTTTTACTGGGTTGTGAAATGTTCTAAATATCGCAAGCATATGATCAGTTATGGTTCTGTTAGAAAGTGAAAATTCTCTGTTTTAAGTTATAATGAAAGAGTTCATATGCACAGAGGATTTGGTAGCATACTCATACTTTAATTCAGGGGTTCTCAAGTTGTGATTCACAGACCAGCAGCATTAGCATCACCTGGGAACTCTTAGAAACTGGGAGTGACCCCAGTAGGCTGTGTAAGGAGCCCTCCTGGTGATCCTGAAGCTCAAGTTGGAGAAGCACCATTCTGGTATTATCGTATCTGTGGAACTCTTAACAAATTTCATTCTCACCTGTTTCATCGGAAGTGGAGGAGACATTTTTATAGCCACTTATGCCAGGATTACACATACTTTTTGTGTTTCTGCCAGCATGATTTTATGTTCTTATTTTAATGAAAGCAATTCCAGTAAATTCTATTTTAATGCCTATTATGTGCACCAAGTACATATTTTATATACTCAATTTTGTTTTACAATAACCTTGGAGAAATTTGGAGTCGATGTGGGCAGGGAGAGAGGGTTTAGAGGCTATCTTGTATTGTGGATGTGGAAACCAAGAATTAAATTTAACTTGCCCATTCTCATAGCCGGTGAGTATGGGCCTGTATTCAACTCCAGAAACCATGCTTTTCCTGAATATAAGATAGTGTCTTTTTGAGGGGATGCCAGAGGGGGTAAGCCTTCCCTTTCAGCTGTTCTCCCTCTACTGAACTGAAATGATATTACAAATGTAGTTTTAAACAGGGATGCAAAATAGAATCACCTGGAAATAGTTAAAATGGCAAACTTTCTGTGGCATCTATTTAACTGCAATTTTTTAAAATTGTGGTGAGTCACCTAAGAAACTGTTCAAATATGAACAGGACCATCCCTGGGGAGATTTTGTAAGTACTGTAGTAGGGTCTAGGCATGTGTGTTTTGGAAAAGCTCCCCAAGTTATACTGATACATACACTCCTTTAGGATTTTACTGGTCCACTATATTCAATTAGTAAATAACTATAAACTGTATTGTATTGTTGATTTTCTATTCCTCATGTGGTTTTTGAAGTTGCGCAGTTTATACTTTGCTATCATTGACAGACGCTTATTGAGTACCTACTGTGTATCAAGAACTGAGGCACAGAGGTTTTTTTTTTGTTTGTGTTTTTTTTTTTTTAGTATGATTTATTTTTGCTATAGGGCACATGGATATTTTTGCTATAGGGCACATGAACTCACCAGAGAGACAGAAAGCAAGAAATCACCCCACACACACACACACACACACACACACACACACACACACACACACGGGGGGTGGGGGGATGGCCACTGTGCAATCTCTTCTCCTTCATTCTCCTTTCAAGAGTTTGGGCATACATGCCACATGCACCTAGCATGAATTTCAAGCTGCTGGGTCCAAAACTCAAAACACAGTTGTCATGTGGGAGTCCAGCACCTCAAACACCTGCTGGCTTCCACAGAGGTATATTATGTCACATTAGTGATAGACACTATGAAGAGGAACCAAAGCAAGACTGTATACTGACAGGAGAGTTGGGGTGACTTGATACAGAATACGAGGGTCTGGCTCTGCCTCTTTGATGACATTTGAATGGAAACCTGAAGGGTTGAGCTCTGTGGATACATAAGAACTTTCAGCGCAGAAGGAAGAGAACGTACAAAGACCTTGAGGTGGGAATATACTTTGCAGATTCAGGAAACAGTACATCAGTTAGAAGGCTGTAACTAGGTCACCGAAAGATTATAGGGACTTCTACCAAGGTAATAAAATGTGAGATGAAGGTGGTGGCGTGATTGGGTTGTGGATGTATTTTGGAGGAGGAGCCAGTAGGAGCTGGCTGCTCCAGAGTGGGGACTTTATCCTGTATGTCCATGTTCCCATCACGTCAGCATCATACCTGCACACGGTTCACAGTCTGTTTTGTTTTACTTCCTCTAACATTTGTGCACTGATTTTAGCAAAAACTGCCAGTTCTGAAAGATGAGAAAGCACAGATTCAGTCTCTAGTTATATACTACAGGTTTACATGTGTCCTCCTGGAAGAAAATTTTCTTTGAGTCATAATAAAATCCTGATTTAAACATTACTACTTTTAGAGGAAAAAAAGATATTATGTAAGCATAAACAATTTGCTTATAAGCAAAAGTTATTTGCATGTTCTCAACAGCAATTTAAAGCCTGCAGGGGTACATGGCAGTTACACTGCACACGTCATTCTGGCCTGGAAGGTCCCATGGCAGTCATAGAGCCCCTTTACTGAGAGGGAACCTGGCAGAGGTCTGATTGTTATACAAGGGGGAAGGCAGATGGCGTGGTGGTTAAGGCACTAGACTCCACATGGCCGACTATGGTTGGCGTTCGGGACCTGGCAGCTTGGAAATGCCAGGTATGTATGAGTGCATGCCCAAAATCCCAAGAAGAAAATATAGGAGAAGGGACTGTGGCATGGCTGTCCCTTCTGGGGAATGATTTCTCACCTTCCCTCTCACTGTCTCTCTGAAAAGCACATGCACCTGATGGCCAAAACCTTTCAAATAAAAAAAGAAAAGAAAAGAAAGGAAAAAAATATAAGGATAAGTTAGGATGTGGCCTTTATCATTCGCAGAGCACATGGAGTAGTCGAGTCCATGATGGAGTCCAGTCCTTAGTCCAGGGCCTGCAGAGATCGGAGGGTTCTGGAGCACTGTTTTATACTCTCAGGCGGGGACAGTAGCCCTGGGGCCTGCCTTTAGTGGAGGTGCAGAGGGCTGCAATGGGGGGTCAGGGGGAGCAGCTGGCCACCCTGTGGGTGTAAAAGGTTCAGAGAGTGAGCAAGATTGCTGATTGAAGCTCTCCAGCTCAGTAGAAGGAAGAGAAAGGGGGTAAACATGTCAGAAGGGTGGGAGAAGCAGACATCTGGGCAGCCCATGTCCCAGGCTCTTGGCAAGGATGTAAAAAAAAAAAGGGGGGGGGGGGGTCATAGAATTGTCTTGGACCAGCTCCACTGTGCAGCAGTAATGCACTGCTCAAGAGAAGCCAGGTCCCATGTGGGGACCACAGTTTGAATCTCTGGTCCAGTTAGCCCAGAAGACACCACGCACATATACTAGTGCCCGAGATCTGACAAGCTGGAGGGCTGGAGGGAGGGGATGATGATATGGCCAGACTCTGGGGCAGGTGCTCCTCTTTCTCCTCCTTTCTCTATCTTTTACAACATACTCTATAATGAATCAAGGGGGGGCGGGGAAGCCACATCTAGACTGATACTTCCCCTCCTGATACCATTTGCCTTCAGTAGGTTGAAACATTTGATACATACATAGAATTTAAAGCTGCATTTAAAATTTCAGTCATAGAAGCCAGCAGGTGGTGTTGAGGTTAGGTGTTGGTGTTGGATCCCACATGGCCAATTGTGTGGTTCGAGTCCCAACCTGGCAACTTGAAAATCATGCAGGGCACATGTGCGTGCATGCCCAAAATTCCAAGAGAAGAGTGGAGGAGAGGGAACGGTGAGATGGCCATCCTCCATGAGGATGCTTTCTCACTTTCCCTCCCTCCCTCCCTCTCTTTCTCTGGCAAGTACACGTGCTCAATAGCCACCAAGAAAAAAAAATTCAAACACAAATTTTAGCTTTAAGTGATTGCTTGGTGCTCGATGAACTAAATGTGGACATACACACATACATATGTACGTGTGTATATGTATGTGTGTGTGTGTGTGTGTGTGTATGTGTATATGAGATAATTTAGTAGCCTTTCAAATCTAAGGAAATAAATATGTTCACACAAACAATTGTTGAAGTATTTAAAATGAAAATTTTTTTCTCACGTGCGTTGCTGGCCACTGGAGATAGACTAGTAAATAAGAAGATTGGGAACTTCAGTTGTCAAGCAAATTTCTCATAAGCCAAGAAGAAATGTCCTACTCATGTATTGAAGGTGTCTTTTTCCTGTATGAACTCCTCTGCTCTGAGACTTTAGCTACTTCGGCTGACGTCTCCTAATTCTTTGTTCTTATTCGAAGGTGTTCGTGCTCCCAGAGAGAGGGAGTGGAAGAAGGCACTCTCATGGGGCTCAGTCAGAGCACATTCCCTTCTCTTCCATTTCTCCATCCGCCGTTTCTCAGTCCTGTCGGGATTTAGGGTACACACCATTTACCTGCATGTTTTTCAAGGTTCTGGGACTGGTATTCCAACATGTAGTCAGCTACATGGGATTTGCCTCCCTTAACCACTAGGCCATTGGGCCAACTCCTCCTAAAGCTTTGTTTCAGGGTTAGATCTTCTCACCCTCAGAATCCTATTGTCTGTATGCCAGTGTCCTACAGTCACTTGTACTGCAACATACCTAAGCACGAACAAATGGGATGCTGACACTCAGTT